CTTTTTTTTTTTTTTTTGAGTCAGAGTTTCACTCTGTTGCCTAGGCTGGTGTGCAGTGGCATGCTCATGGCCAGCGCAGCCTTGACCTGCTGGGCTCAGGTGATCCTTCTGCCTCACCCTTCCAAGTAGCTGGAACTATAGGCATGTACCACCACGCCCAGCTAATTTTTTGATTTATAGTAGGGATGAGGTCTTGCCAAGTCGCCCAGGCTGGTCTTGAACCCGTGGCTCAGGCAATCCTCTCTCACCATGACATCCCAAAATGCTGGAATTATAGGTGTGAGCCACCGCGCCCAGTCTCATAGCACTTACTTTTTAAGTGGATGTTTATGTTTCTGTTTGTTTAATGTTAAATTAATGGCCAAAAAAGACGCAGAAAATGCCGACACATAAAGTAGTTCTAGATATAAAATCCATTTCCCTTCAGTTGTTCAAAGAATAGAGACAAATTTAAAACATTAAGTAGAGACAGAAGACATCGTTTTTTGGTAATAATTCTATTGCTTTGTTAGGAAGGGAATGCATCTGAGAAAATGTGACTGTTAGTTCTCCTTAATGTTCAATGCATCTTCATTTTAAACCTATAGTTTTATGGGTATATACCACTTTTTTACATTTTTAATTGATTTGACATGAAAAGACCCATTTTCTAGGAAAGAATCATAGTTTCTCAAACAGGAGAAAAATTATGTTAAGAGAGTGACTAAAATAAATTACATTATCCCAAATATTCCTTTAAAAATTGTGGTCTAGTACTTTTATTAAAACCCAAGAGATTCATTAAGATTAGTAATATGCAGGGCCAGGTGCAGTGGCTCATGCCTGTAATTCCAGTATTTTGGGAGGCCAAGGCGAGTGAACTGCCTGAGCCCACAGGTTCGATACCAGCCCTGGCAACTTCGCGAGAACTGTCTCTACAATAAATAAAGAATAGCCAGACATGGTAGCATGTGCCTGTAATTCCGGCTACTTGAAAGGCTAAGGCAGAAGGATCACTGGAGTCCAGCAGGTCGAAACTGGGGTGGCCGTGAGTGTGCCACTGCATTCCAGCCTGGGCGACCAAGTGAGACTCCAATCCTCCCCAAAAAGTGAACAGCTTCTAGGAATTTTAAGACCTAATACTTTGAGAATAGAAAACCAAGCTCATGGTTAAGTGTTAACTTAGTGTTAATAGGACTGATCCAGCCACTTGGCTTTTTCTAAGTGGAAAGGCAAGCTAAGAGTTAATGAGACTAGGCCTTAGCTGATAAGTCCTCTGAAGTGCTGATGGAAGACTAATGAATGCTGAATAGGACCTGAACTCACATGCCTGAGGCATTACACCTGCCAAGGAGGAAGACAAGCAGAAACATTTCCATATGTTTCTAATTGGGGGGGGGGAAGGGGGGAAGGAAAAGGAGCTAAAGCATATTTTAAAAATATACTATTTCAGTAGTGAGCTCAGGTCTCCTGCAGTCTAGATGCTGGGCCACATTTTCATTGTTGAGAAGACATACTTAGGTTGTTCCAAATAACAGCCACTCTTTAGAAGGTCAAACAGTTCAAAATTGGGAGGAAATACTTTCAGATCAAGTATTTTTTTAAAAAGTATCAGGGGAAATCTTAAAGTGTATTATTTCAGAAGAAATTTTGTTTGCTCAAAAAAGAACCCGGGGCAGAACACAGTGGTTCATGCCTATAATCCCAACAGACACGGTGGGAGGACCACTTGAGCCCAGATGTTCAATACCAGTCTAGGTAACACAGTGAGATCTCCTCTCTACAGAAAAATCAAAAAATGAGTGAGGCATGGTGGTGAGTGCCTGTAGTCCCAGCTACTCAAGAGGCTGAGGTGGAAGGATTGCCTGAGCCCAGCAGATCGAGGCTGCGGTAAGCTGAGATCATGCCACTGTACTCTAGCGTAGACGACAGAGTGAAAACCCAACTCAAAAAAGATAAAGAAAAGAAAAAGTTAATATAAAAGCAAGTCCTGCTTGAAGAGAATTATTTTAGACTTTTTCTCCAGCAATACAGTTTTCATTATGGTTTTCTGAGGCATGGGGGTAGGAAGCTGTCCAGTGGAGTCAGACTTCTTTTGGCTTCACTTTTACTTCGGAGCCCTCAACACTGCTAAACACTGGGACCCCAGGGACAACAGGGAGGAACAAGGGTATTAAAACATTTAAAACGCCGGGCTCGGTGGCTCTGCCTGTAATCCTGCGCCTTTGGGAGGCTGAGGTGAGTGGATTGCCTGAGCCTGTGGGTTCGAGACCCGCCTGGGCAGCGAGACCTCATCTCTGCAATAAATCAAAAAATCAGCCGGGCATGGTAGCGCATGCCTGTAATTCCAGCTACTTGGAAGGCTGAGGCAGAAGGATCACCGGAGCCCAGCAGGTCGAGGCTGCAGTGGCAGGAAGCGGCCACTGCACTCCAGTCTGGGCAACAGAGTGAGACTCCAACTCAAAAAAAAAAAAAAACAAAAACATTTAAAACAACTGTCCTAGGCCAGGCATGGTGGCTCATGTCTGTAATCCCAGCACTTTGGAAGGCTGAGGCAAAGGACTGCCTGAGCTCAGGGGTTTAAGACCAGCCTGGGCAATTTGGTGAGACCTCGTCTCTACAATAAATCAAAATATAAGCCGGGTGTGGTACCATGCACCTGTAGCTCCAGCTACTTGGAAGGCCAAGGCAGAAGGATCGCCTGAGTCCAGCAGGTCGAGGCTGCGGTGGCCCTAAGTGTGCTACGGCACTTCAACCTGGGAGACAGAGTGAACCTCTGACTCAAAAAACCAAACAAAAACAAAACCCCACAACTATCCTGAAGGAAAGGCATAGATGTTATGTTGTTCAAGTTAAGGAAATCTAATTTTAAAACATATAAGGCTACAAAACAGATTAATTTGCTCACATCTCTTAGCATAGCAAAAGCATGATGCTAATGACAACCAAGAACCTTGGGAACTCTAGCTTTATTTTTTTATTTTTATTTGTTTTAAGTCAAAGTCTCACTCTGTCGTCCAGGCTGGAATCCAGTGGTACATCAGGGCCACGGCCCCTTGACCTGCTGGACTGAGGCGACCCTTCTACCTTACCCTTCAAAGTAGCTGGGACTACAGATGTGTGCCACCGTGCCCAGTTAATTTTATGATTTATTGTAAAGACAAGGTCTCACCATGTTACTTAGGCTGGTCTCTTTGGCTGGGAACTCTAGCTTTAAAGGTCTATAGTCAGAATGAAGAGCAATTTCTATGGCACCTATTTCCTAAGCTTGCAAATACCCCGTGTGATTCCCAAGGGCCATAGTGCATCACAAATCTTTTCATTGCAGGTCTAGGTAAGAAATGCTACAGTGAATGTATCTGGAGTGCAGAAAGTGAATTTCTCTCCTTCCATTTACTCATTTACTCTATAAATAGTCAAGTAAAACACTATGTGAGCTAGGTTCCATGGGGAGAATTTCATAAATGACATAAGAAATTAAAAGGCATTTCAGAAATCATTCAGTTCCAAACCCTTCATTTTACAGGTGTAAAACTAATACACCAGAATAGTTAACGTCCCTGTTTACTCTCTTATCTCATTACCTACCCAGTTTTATTTTCTTCACAGCATTTAACACTATCTGAACTTATGTACACATGTATATATATCTATATGTATTTTCTTGTTCACCTCACTAGAATATAAGTAACCTGAGAGTAGGCATCTTTACTTTTCATTCATTGCCATACCTTCAATTTTTAGAACAGTTCCTACAGCATATGGTAGGAATATTTTTCAATCAATATTTATTAATTATATAACCAAAGTATAGAAAAATGAGAATACGTGTTGGAATGTCACACTGGGACTTGTGAGAATCTAGAACCACTGTGACCATTACTCCTAAAAAATACCACATTTGAGTTGTATGAAGTAACAGAACCAGTTACCAAGGAAAAGATGAGTTGGTAAGAAGTAAACATTTATTTGATAACATAACACATTAATTTTTCGGGCATAGCACTTATAAAAGCAGATAACTGTCACAAAAAAATATATACTAATTTCTTCCCAAAGCAATGTCCAGAAAACATGCAATTCATATTAGAACACCTCACTAAAACTAGAATTGATTTGTTACATACTTTTTATATTATTGCTAGCATCATAGTATTTGTTACACCGAAACCTCAGATACTAAAAACTTCAGCAGCATGCATCTTAAGTTCCCGATGAAGGAAGATTTTTTTATAAAAACTCCACCCCGGCCAGGTTCGGTGGTTCAGCCTGTAATCCCGTGCTTTGGGAGGCCAAGGTGAGTGAATTGCCTGAGCCTGCGGGTTCGAGACCCGCCTGGGCAACTTGGCAAGACCTCATCTCTACAATAAAACAAAAAAGTTAGCCGGGCATGGTAGCGCATGCCAGTAGTTCCAGCTACTTGGAAGGCTGAGGCAGAAGGATTGCCGGAGCCCAGCAGGTTGAGGCTGCGGTGGCCGGGAGCGGTCACTGCACTCCAGTCTGGGCGACTGAGTGAGACTTCAACTCAAAAAATAAATAAATAAATAAATAAAATAAAGTTTTAGTCAATATATATGAATATTAATTCTGATTTTAATAAACAGAGTTCTATTAATTCAGGTTATTTTGTAGCAAATATATTAGCAATGAATGTTATTTAAGTAGGTCTTAAATAATAATTTTTTGAATCCCAATATAGTTAACCATCTTCTCTTTGCCATTCCTCTTCGAAAACAGAGTTTACTATAAGCAAATAAAAATAATCAAGGCTATTAGGACAAAGAAACATAAGAAGCAAGATTTTTAGTACCAAGTTTTTAAAATATTCTTTCAGTTTAATGATGCCCATTCACTTATTCAACAAATATTTGCTTAGCACCTGTTATACTATTCCAAGCACCTTGCTAATGATTAGAAGAAAAAGCTACCAGAAATATTCATATTTGAAGAGAGAAAAACTGAACAAGATCTCTTGAACTTCCAGCAAATGTGAGAGATTACAAAATTTTTCAAAAAGATGTTTCAACTTACATTTTGTTCCTCTGGTTCTAATTTGGGGATTTTGTGTGACTTGCGCTCTTCAGATCTAGATGAGTCATGCTTGTTGCTTTTTTTCCTCTTTTCTTTTCTGCTTTCATGCTTTGACTTTGTGTGCTCACTTGCCTGTACTTCATTTAAAAGGTCTCCACAAAGGGACGACTCAAACAATTCCCTGCCATTCTGGATAGTTTTGGTTATTTTTAGTTTAATTTCAGGTGAGCCAGTCTTCTTTGGAATCACAGTTTGTGGTACCGAAGGAGGAGGTGGTGGCTGTGGAGGGGAAGGTTTTTCCAGAATTTCATGTGGCCTTGGGTTAGGAATTTCTGAATGGTAATAGTCAGTGGGGCTAAAGTTTCTAACTGCACCAAAGCCATTGGCTGATCCATTGGGATACTGATTATATGACTGGTATTTGGTTTGAGTTTCATACATGCTGATTGATGGTGGATAGCCATTTGTGAGTGGAGGAAGATCTTCTGTTGTAGGTGGATACTGAAAGCCTTGCTGCAAGGTAGCTTCATATGGTGTCTGGCCACCATCTTCAGCAATGTCACTGTTGTTATCAAAGGCATCCTCCTGACGAATGTTGGCGGAGTCAATGAGTTGAGGTGGTTGCTGAATTGTGTTTCCCATGATCCCTTGCATGAAAGAGAAAGAGAAATCCATTGTTCTGCTCCAGCATCCTTAACTTTCCCTTTCTCTCATCGGGCCTAAGATTATAAAAGAGGAGATTAAAAGGTTTTAATATCCTCATAGGCTAGAGGCTAATCAATTGAAAAAGGATTAAACTAAAATGTTTTGAACCCAATTTTTATATCCAGATATGCACAAACATTAAGAACTTACAAAACAGACAGCCAATGTAATTCTGACACAGGACAAATACTTATCTTAAATGCTTTCCTGTTCTAAACTCCTAATTACTTTCACAACAAATGGGGCAACAAAATTTTATCCTCTTTGTCAAAAGGCAAAATAGTTTTGACATTCCTTTCTGTTTCTAAGTTACAGATTACAAATCTCAGGTTAAAACTGGTGTTTGCTAAATAAGCAGTATCTGACACATACAAATTAGTTTCCATAAGAGCTTCCTTTGAAATAATTCATGTTTTGTCCAGTGATTCTTTTTGGTATTACAAAAATAATAAAATTGTACTGTAAACATTTTAAATACAAAAGTAAAAAGGTCTAGCCTGAGCAACATAGCATCTCTACCAAAAAAAAAAAAAAAAATTAGCCGTGGCACATGCTTGTAGTCCCAGATACTTGGAAAGTTGAGGCAGAAGGATCACCTGAGCCCAGGAGGTTGATGCTGCGGTAGGCCATGATTGTGCCACTGCACGCCAGTCTGGGCAACAGAGTGGACACAGACAAAAAGGCCTGTTTCTCATCATTCTCATTCTTCTGTGCCATAGACAACTACTGTAAACTTTGGTGGGTATTCTTCTATATCTTTTTCTGCATAGTTACATACAAAATATTAAAAATAAAGCTTATTCTTTGATTTACTTATTTAACTGAACATATCCTGGATATATTTCTACATCAGCATGTTTAGGTAATTTTCATACATATTCATTCTTTAAATGGTTGCATAGTAAACAAATGTAGTATCTACCATAAGGTACTTAACCATTTGTATACTAATAATCAACTAGTTGCTAACAATTGTTTGATAATAAAAATAGGTCTATTCTTGCAACTATATTTTTGTACATATGTGTATTTCTATAAGACAGATTTGAAATTTTGATAGATACTGCTTGTTCTATAGGCTGTACTATATCAATTTATACTCTTACCAATAGTGTCTGAGGATGCCAGATTCTCTACATGCTTGCCAATATCTAGTTGTTTTTAACAAGTGCATTATTAAGCAGAAGCATCTGGGGTACTCATAAAATGCACATGTCAGGGTCCTGAAGATTCTGATTCAATAAATCTGGGGTGGGGTCTAGAGCATGAGTATTTTAAGACCACATCCCAGCTGTTATAATATTGATTGGATCTTTGTGTTATAATCATTGCATTATACCCTTTCAATTATGGTACCTCCTCTAGAAGGTGTCTAAAGGTGTCCACATTATGTATTAATGTTATAATAGAGATAAGCATCTCTTATAAGTGCTACAAAGACTACCCTGCCTTGTCATAAGGTTTGATAACTCATTTCAAGACAGGATTAATGAACAGCCTACATATTTTGATAATCCCATAAACATTTCTTCTAGAAAGCTCTAAAGTAGGGAAGACAAACAGGTTTTCATTACTGTATCAACTCTGACAAACTGATTTACTAGCATACTGTGAAAGATTCTCAGGCTATACGAGTTCATTCCTACTAATACTACTATTGATCCATTATTATAATTATTAACAGTAGACTAATTAATGTCTGCCATCTTGTTCAAGTAGGACTTACCATAATAATAAAGCAAGAAACCCAAAACAGGAAAGGGAAGGGGGAAACAAAAGCCAGGGATACACTTTTCAAGGTGTATCCTATCATACAGCTGCTGTTTGTTTTGCTATTAATAAATGGAGATAATTTTAGCAGTTCTAAAATTGCAAACAAATGAATAATACAGCACACAAGAAATTAAACTGCCTGTATTGCTTTACATGGGGGCAAGTAGGTAGAGAGTACTCTAATTTCCTTGGTGTCTTCTCCAGGTCAAGCACTTGATACATTATCTCATTTAATTGTCACAACAACTCACAAGACATGTACTTGTGATTTCTGGTCCACGGTTTAAAAAAACAAAACAAAATATGAGCTTCAGCAGGGCTTGGTAGCTTGTTTAGACCACAGGGCAAAGGGCAGAATTAGAATTTGTATCTAAGCACGTCTGACTCCAAAGCCCATAATTTTTAACAACTATACCACTTGTCTTCCTCAGCTATCAGCTCCAAGTATTATTTTCTTTTCTCTTCCTTTCTTCCTCTCTCTCTCTCTCACTTTCTCTCTCTTTTTGAGTTGGGGGTCTCAGTCGGGGTTTCACTCTGTCCCCAAGGCTGGAGTGCAGTGGCATGATCACGGGTCACCACAGCCTCTAACTCCTGGGCTCAAGTGATCTTCTGCCTCCCAAGTAGCTGGGACTACTGATGTGCACCACCGTGCTGAGCTAATTTTAAAATTTTTTTGTAGAGACAAGGTCTCACTATGTTGCCCAGGCTGGTCTTGAACTCTTACACTCAAATGATCCTCCCGCCTCAGCCTCTCAGGTTTTTTTTAAAGAGATGGAGTCTCACTATGTTGCCCAGGCTAGTCTTGAATTCCTGGCCTCAAGCAACCCTCCTGCCTTGGTGTCCCAAAATGCTGGGATTAGAGGTGCAAGCCATTGCACCTGGTCTCGACTTTTCGTTTGCTCATGTACTTTATTCTTTGAACACTGCCAAAATAACAACTATTCTAATAACTGCCATTAATACTCATACAGCATTTCATATGTGTCAGGCACCATTCTAAGTGCTTTACATACAGTACCACATTTAATCCTACCAACAATCTTCAGGTAGATATTATCTCTCATTACAGATGGGGATTTAGAGGCACAGAGAAGTTAAATAACTTATTTACCTGCATATGACTGGTAATTTAATTGACAGAGCTAGGATGCAACCCAAGCAGTCTGGTTCCAGGTAGTCTGCTCCCAACCAGCATACCATACTTACTGATAATACTTAATAAATTTTAGAAATAATTTCTTCCTATTTGGTTTAAGAACTGAAACATTACCCTAATTTGACCTTGGCAAAAATGTATAGCTCACAGCAGCAAACATAAGAAGGAAATGTTTTAAAATTCTTTTAACACACATAGGGCAACTATGCGGGTAGAATTCAAAAGTTCTCATTCATACTTCCAACTTGAAGGCAAGTTAAATACTGACATCTAACAAAATGCAAGCTGTGTTTTTGGTTCTTGTAACTCTCATATACAAGATCAGTTCCAGATTAGTCTCCCAAATTATAGTCTACAGGGTTTTCAAGCATTTGTATTCAGAGACTGAGGTTTCAGATGCTTTTGATTTAATTCCAAATCCTTTAAGAAGTTTGATATTTTTCCCCTTTTTTCTCATCTAACTCAAAATATTTCATTTTAGTTTGAACTAAGAAAAGAAATAGCATTACCATCATACAATTATATAAGAGCTCACAAGCAGAGTGTAGTCATATGCATTCTTATTTGATCCTCAAACAGACTTGAAAGGCTAACAGGGCAGGCACGGTAGCTTCTTGGGTTAGATAACTACCTTGAACACTTGAGATACTGACTTTCCCAAGACCACTAGTTAGTTAGTGATGAAGCCTGAGAAAGAATCAATCCTGGGTTCTTTTTCACAATATCCCACTGTCACAGAATAACCAATGACCTAAAAACTACACTATAAACTTAAAAGTTATTCATTCAAAACTAAATGCACTGTCCTTTCCCTAATTCAGCTTCTCTTTGGGACTACACTAGATCTGTCCCTGCTTCCAGCATTTTTCTAGCTTCCCACATCTCAAGGTGATTGACTTTTCCCCCTCTGTCAAGCCATATGTGCGGTAAGTGTCCAGACATTGCCTCTTTTCCCCATATCTGCCTTCTTTCTGCCCCACTTCCAGGGAGAAGCCCCTGGGGTTACCATGTTATACCATAAACCAGTCATTGAGCAAATCTTTGATTTTCTTCCCAGACCAGGTCCTCAGCACCCTATCCTGAATTATAAATAGTTCTTGCCTCTAACTTCTTTCTGCACAGCAGTTAGATGACACTTCCTGAAACCAAATCTATTCCCATTCTAAGAAACTCTAAAGCTTCAGATTATGCCAAATCCCTTTCACGTCTTTCAAGGTTTTCTATAACTTGACTTTTTCCTACCAACTCAAACTGTATGTGCATGAATGGATTTTTCTAAGCATCCACTGAGCCAGATAGCTACAACCTGTGACCACAATATACATTGTTTAATCCTTTGAAGCAAATTATTATTCCCATTTGACAAATGAGAAAGAATGGAACTCAAAAAGATTAAGTTAGCTGGGCTCGGTGGCTCAGCCTATAATCCTGCGCTTTGGGGGGCTGAGGTGAGTGGATTGCCTGAGCCCGCGGGTTCGAGACCCACCTGGGCAACTTGGTGAGAACTCATCTCTACAATAAATCAAAAAAAAAAAAAAATTAGCTGGGCGTGGTAGCATGCGCCTGTAGTTCCAGCTACTTGGAAGGCTGAGGCGAAGGATCGCCGGAGCTCAGCAGGTCGAGGCTGTAGTGGCCGGGAACAGGACTCCAACTCAAAAAAAAAAAAAAAAAGATTAAGTTATCTGCCCTTAGTCACACAGCCAATAGAAGTTGAATTAAGTGGTAACACTCTCACCTTCTGACTCCAGTACTTCACTGTGCTCTTTACATGGCAGTTCCTTACCTCCTGCAAACTATCCGAACTTCCCTCTTTTTTTCAGTACGCCCCATGCCCATAATCCCAATGCCTGTCTGACAGCTCCTCTCATCTTAAAATGTCTAATGATAAACTCTTATTTTTTATTCTACTTAAATGTACCTTTCCCCCAGTCTTTCCCACCCAAAACAAACAAACAAATAATTAAATAAATGAAATCATCTCTGAGTCACCCAAGCCAGAGCCTGGGCATAGTAGTGCATGCCTGTAGTTCCAGCTACTTGAAAGGCTGAGGTGGAAGGATCACCTGAACCAAGCATGTCAAGGCT